TATATAAAGGATGATGGAAACACTCAATTAAGAATTCCCATTGAGTAAACATACATTTATTCTGTCCAAAATAACAGACTTCATATATTAAAAATTACGTCATTTGCACTTACTATCAATATGCCATTTTCTCGTTTCATAAAATGGCTTATTTTGAATGTAGTTACTCCGATAAGATGTGCCGATAAAATGGAACTCCTTCTGAATATCTTATAGACGAGTCTTAGAAACGTATGCACCCTACTTATCAAATTCAACAGGATAATGAACGGTTTTAGCATTAAACCTGTAGAATGAGTATGCCTTGTTAACCAATTGACTACGTTGACCACTCTGTTTGTTAAGGAAAATGAATCAAGCGATGCACACTAAACGTCATGCATTTCTACTAATGGAAAAGGCTTTAAAGTTCTTTATCACGTAATCCCGAATGAAATCGATTGCCTGACTTGTGTCTCGATCCAGTCAGGACAAGTGTGTAAGAAGATTCTTGAAAATTAACAGGCTAGCCGCATGAGAAGTCTTGTCACTGGTAGAAAGAACTACCGTTGACCTCACTAAACTACTTCATTTCCGAAAACGGTGTATATCAGACTACTGCACTCTATTGTACAACAAGAGTGTGAATAGTAGTTGCTTCAAAATGAAAGAAATGCAAAAAGTCAGAGGTGTGCTAACTTAAATGTCTTCAAAACATGTAAAGTGACAATGACAACATCTAACACAATCTCTAAAGTAACACGTGATGACCTCAGATGCTTAAGATAAGTATCCATCACATGCCTTTCAATATTATTACACGCTTCAGTTATGATTCGATTTCAGCTGTATTTTTAATTACATCATTTGAATATTTAAACTCGTTCTACAGCTATATGATGATACTCCATGCCAAGTGATTCATAATGGAAGGCTGAATGATGCCTTTCAAGTGAAGACAGGGAACAAGAGTAAGACAAGGCTGCCACCTACTATCACCGATCATCTTCCCGATTCTGGTCAACTGGATCAACTGGATACTGCAACAGACAACTGTGAGGAGCGAGAAGAAGGGCATACACTGGCTGGACCGATGAAAACACCCCAGAAGAAGATTTACATTTCACCAACGACGATGATTTATGTCTAATGTCTTGTCGCACAAACTCCAAGATCTACAGCCAATGACCAACAAGTTGACAGAAGAGGCAGGACAGGGCAGAGAAGGAAGACGGGACCTCCTTCAGGTGAACGTAGAGATGAAAGAGGTGATGAAGATACTCAACCAACAACAACAACAACATCAACAAGCACCAATCACCATGAATTGGGAGAAACCTAAAGGAAGTAGTCTCTTTCACCTACCTACCTACCTACCTACCTCTCTACCCAGATAGCATCGTTTCAACTACAGGTGGTGGCACAGGCACGGATGAGGACTTCAAAGCCAGAATTGGAAAGACAGCAGACAGGCCTTCCTTCATTAACCTGAAACCAGTGTGGAGATCTACTCCACTCCACTCCACTCCACTCCACTCCACTCAGCATAAAGTGTGAACAACATGCAGATTTTCAACACCAATGTCAGTCAAGTCAGTGTTTCTATGTGATGGTTCAGAAACTTGGCGCATCACCAAAAGCATTGCCAACAAACTACAGACATACACCAACAGCTGCTGACTAAACTTACTGAAGATGAGGTGTCTAGAAAGAATAAGCAAGAAGGAATTCTGGCTGGCTGGTTGGTTGGTTGACAACGAACCACTGAAGAACCATCACCCAACAAATATGCTAAAGAATGTGGGGATAGGTTGGATTGGGCATACACTGAGAGAGCCAGCCATTCAGAGACATCACGTGCCAGGCGAGACTGTCGAGTGGAATCGAAATGGGAAACGAAGATTTGTGTGTGTGAGCGAAGGTGACATAGAGGAGATCATGTGAGGAAGAAATCAAAGCTTATGGGTAGTCGTGGAGCCAGGTTTTGAAGACTGTAGAGAGGAGAGTGGAATGGAGATGTGCTACTGAAGTACTTTGTTCTAGTAGGAACCTAAGGGACAAATAATAATAATTTGACGAAGTCGTTTATTGAAAGCTTTTATATTGCAAATAGCTTTCTTTGAACCCAACAGAAATGTAACTGAATCAGCCGCTGTTTGACTACGTTTTGGCAACAAATGAGGAAATCTGACGAAAACGAAATTCTTACTGCAGGTAAATTTTATGATTTCAAAATGTTTACTTGGTGCGTAATTCTTATGTAATCTTCAATCCTCTTTCAGTAGGAGAGTGATTTGAATTAAATGCACAGCCTCTACGTAAGCAGTAACTGCTGTTCAACGGCCATATACTTATTGCTAAGGAAAATACGATAAGCATATGAAAGAAACCTTATCAGTCGTCGAGTTATCAAATTAGTCCTCTTTTTAGGGGGATACTGGTCACCCTGAAGACACACTTCCCAAGATATTTCAAACGAAAAATCTAAGAAAAATAATGAGATGATTTTTGAGTTTATTCATGTTTAGTAGATAAGTTTTATTCAACACAATAAATTCATGAATAAATGGATAACACACCAGTGCTTGAAGCAATCAGTCCTGGGCTTGAGTCTCCCGAGGAACATCGCCAGTCGCTGGACGGTGGGCACATGCAACTTATAAGTTTTAAACAAAAGATAATGCCCATCCTGGATTCTATTTATAAGTACTATCCATCAATAGTACTAAACATAAACACTACAAGATGGCAAGAGCAGTGCTACCTAAATCCAAAGTCTTATAGTTTACATCAGCTAAAAAGTCAGTGAAACAATATCCATCTTCAAGTTGATTAAAAAAATGTCTTTAAGACAGAGACTTGTAGATACGTGACCAGATGTAAATGACAAATTACATGTTAAAAAAAACTAAATCAGCTGACTGTTAGCTAATGTAAACCATTTGTCAAATCTGATTTGACCTTGACCTAGTTGCATGATTTCGAAAAATGCAAAATAACTGAAACGAAATGTTTCCATTTCAATGAAAACCAACTGCAAATATATCTGAATGTTGACATTATTGTTTCCATGGCTTGTTCTACATCTAGTAATCAATTATAGGGCTGAGCTCAGTTGTAAAAAAGTTAATTTTGATCTGGAAAGCTTAGTGGTAAATAAAGTTAGCAAGTTCAGATCAATCTTTTATAGGAAAAATGACTTTTCTACAAGGTTGCAAATACACATTGCTGATGAACATTAAGAAAACCGAAATCAAATCTTCTGTACAAAAAAATCGGTGCTAGCTTTGTAATTGATCAACTAAGTTGGTATTCACCACGTATTGACAATATTTGGAAGAGCATTGGAAACCTAGAAGCACTGGACAGCTGCTTCGTCCTAGTATGGGACCCCTCAGCAGAGGGTACTTATGACTCTGCCCCATCAGGGACCGAACCCAAAACCTTCAGGTTCCGTGGCCAGCACGTTACCATTGAGCCAGTGGGTCGGAACCAAATCGTCCATATCCCCAGGTTCTGTCAGTTCATGACATAGCGCGACCATCACCGAATGTCATTGTTGAGTACTTGTCATCACGGCCACCAGGTTTTACCCCACCGGTCACGACTTCCCATCGGAATCTCAGGAATCATCTCTCGAAGCTAGTCATCAATAAGCACTAGATCAATCTAATTTGGAGGTTTATGGGGATTTAGTGATGTCGGCCCATGATGAATAGCAACTTGAAAAACTACTAAATCCCCAGAAACTCCCAAATTAAATCAATCAAGTAGTGTGAGGTATGCGAAGCGAAGTCCACTCAGCGACCATGCGAACTTTTGAATAGTAGACGATGAGCCATACTTGTGATGGCCTAGCTGCCCAAATCTCGTTAGGTAGAAAATCCTAATGTTGATGACTCTGTTTACTGCGAAATTGAGAGTAAAGTTCAAAAAGGAGTAGATGGAAAAGTTTATGAATTATATTACAGAAACTGTAAAAAAAAACACCATATTCGAAAGATTGATCTCTCTTTTTCTTTATTTTCGTCTACGTGAGTATCAGCTAGTGGTTATTAAGTGTCAGCCTCTATCTTTTCTCAATTCAGTGCAATATAGATGTAGAAGTGTGAAAATCACTTCAAATGAAGAAATGTTCAGATTACAGATGGATGGAACATAATGAACACAGAGGAATCCCAAAACGATGGACATTTAATTCAACCGTCAATCGATAGGCATGTTGACCTGAGCTCAGATTATCAGTTATTAAGAATTACGGTGAGCAGGTAAAAGGTCCTATTTCCAGTTAATAAAAACGATTGATTGGACTACATAAGAAAGCAATAATAGTTCAAGTACTTAAAAAAAACTAGGCACAGTTCAGTTTCTTAGGATTAGTTTTAGTCCACCCTGCTGAAAACTACCCATAGCAAATTACTATTTTTTTTACAGTATTAGTTGGCAGTGTTGTGGAGAACGACAATAAAAGCTGTATAATAAAACAAATAAGATAAGAGAGGAAAAGGTATTGAGTTACAAAAATCGGTCTGCACTGTCTTTTACACTTTTTGCCTGTCAATAATGCACATTAATGCTTATTGTGTTGGGGGTGGAGTTCATCCACCGACAAACGTATTCGACGTCTAGTGACATTAGGCATGTAATGTGACTAGATAATGCAGAATGGCGTTTTAGTCAGTCAGGTTGACCAATTCAGTCGGTGTCTTACCCACCGCAGGATTATATTAGATACAATAATGGACTAGGAGACAGTGACTACTGCTGCTGTGTCTTGTGTAGAATGGTTTCTAAATTTTATCAATAACACGTATAGGATAAAGTCAAAGAACAACTTTCTTCAAAAGTACACACACGTATAAATTGCTGAATACTGAACGCCTGTATCGAATCGGTTGGGTGCTTTCAGTAGTACCTTCAAAACGCTGAAGTACCTTATATTCAACTCTAAGATGTGTAATAATCATGAATATAGATACACATATATACCGAATAGTTCGCTAGAAACACAAATAGCCTACCTTTACTGAAGATGTATCTGTAACCAATGAATCACTCATATTAGGATCAGGTCTCCAAATTTCACTCGGAGTGGTATTCTCTTCATTTGTTTGGGATGTTTCTCTTGAGGGATTGGATAAAGAATTCAATGAATTACGATCTGTAGTTAATAAGTTTTGTTTACTGTCAGCCCCATTGATATCATCATTCTGTACCTCAGGAATCTCATTGTTTTTCATTCTGACAGATGGCTTAGACGAGATGGTAGCTGTAGTCTCCTCAGTTGCTCTCATCATGGATGGTGTTGTTATTGTTGTCATCATTCCTGCTGTCGATTTACTTTGACACATATCTTGAACGTTCAACGGAGCACCTAAAGCATGCCAACTAGCGCCTCGATCGTGTGTAATAACTGTGTAGAGTGTACGATCCGGATTTAAACGTGTAGCTAAATAAGTACCACGCATTGATGCAACACGATAAAAATCTGTCACTGGTGCATGATTCGGGTATAAATGATGCCTAAGAGATTCACTGAATACTGTACCAGTAATATCTGATATAAATAATGCTCCATAACCAGTATCTATAACAAGAACAAAAAAACGTTTTGAGTCAAAAGTGTACAGAAAATAGATGAAGACTTATTTAAAAGACAAAACGGATACCTGAGTACACATGCTAGAGGTTTGTATACTTTATTATTATGCAGAATAGAAAGAACCAGAAAGTAATCTCCGATAATACGTTCTCCATCGCCTGTAAGATATGCTTATGGAGGTCACAGATTTAAAGGTATTTGATCAATAATAATAGTGATATAAGTGTCGGATTCCATGCACCTGGCAGATCAGGCGAATTGAAAATCCTAAGACTAATTGAATAACATTATACAAGATTAACATGTCGCTGATAAGGATGTGAAGTGAAACAAATAAGTCAAGTTTATTAAGAGTAACCGCTTAATTTGACAAGCAGTGATATCTGGAGTAGACTTATGATAGAAAGGATTTTAAGATGCAAGGCCGAAAATGACAACAGCATATACCGTTAGTGATTGTAGTTTTCATGATAATGGTTAGTCATGTACAAAGAATTAGTGATTTAAAACTCTAGGCTGGAAAAAGATGTTATTGGCATTTATATGTACCCTATTATTTCCTAACTTCTACTTCCTGTCTTCTGTTCGTCATAAAGCTAATTTGTAAATTACTCCACTACAAATTGTAACAAATTCTTCTAACCGCACTTAAATTTTCAGACAGACACAGACAAAACCAACGTAGAACTACTCGACACCTCCCAGTAGTAGGGAAAGAACAAGTTAATAGGAAAGATTGACCTAGGAGAAGAGGAAATTTAAAAGCTAAGGTTCGTCAGAACATTCAAGCTCTAGAAGACATCAACGAGTCAACCTATCCTTGCCTTTATGACCAATTTTCAACCATTTTACCAAGAGTTCTGAACCACTGTTTTCCATTGTCTCAAGCAACCCAGCCAGGTAGTCAATATATCTCAAGACCCATTGAACTGACAATCATCCACTGGTGCACAAGTTTGTTCTGGCCACTCTGAACCCTCTTCCAAATTAATTAAACTTCTCTCAGCATCGCACGTCGATGTAGGTTGTGGCTGGGCATAAGCAGTACTTGTCCTAGCTATCTCAGTAGCTGAAGGTTCACAAATTCATCAACTAACTTGTCTTCTATGTCTAATACTCTTCCCCCAACTTCATTGTCTCACAAGTTTTCGTAACAGATTATTTTTGACCACATCTGTGTTCATAAATGAGTTCACGAGCTCAGATAGGAGTATAATTTTGATAACTATCTTATAAGACACTTATCTGATAGCTTAGTAAGCATGCATATATATATATATATATATATATATATATATATATATATATATATACTGGTTCTTATGGGTTAGAGAAAGCTGGATCAGATAATCGAACGTTTGAAGTAGCCTCCAATTTCGAAGTGTTTTTTCTTGTCTTCGGTTAATTATCTACTAGATTTCACCCAAGGAATGAATCATTCGCTATCATGAAATAGTTTTTCTCATCAGTTTCTAGAATCGCTTGTTGATACAATCTCTATCCAGCGCAATGTCAAGTTGAATACTTCACTTCTTTAAATGTCTAACTGCAAAGAAACGATGGCAATTTAATTTATAATTATGTATTCACTGGCATTGAAGGACCAGTTTATACGTCCTTGAGTAGGAAGAAAAATTTTTTGCAATCTTTTTCTTCAAGTGATTTTACTAAGTGGGTCAAAAGCGTGATGTATTGAATTTGTTATTGTTCCGTTTCACGTAATCCTCAGGATATGTTCAAACCAATTCTAATGGTTCCTAAGTTTCAGTAGTAAGGTTTATCTGAATACTTCACACACAAAATGAATATCCTCACAAAGAGTCAAACTTATGTCACTTATCAGTACAAGCCAAAAACTGTGCTGCTAAACTTATTATATGGACCTCCAGTTAGCTGTTACACAGTAGAATATACCTTGGGGACTTAGCAAATAATCTACTTTTTAAGTGATTTAACGAGAAGTCAATCTCAGATGAGCAATGCATTCGTCCACAACATATATGCTTCAACACAGAAGTCATCATGAACTGCTCACATCACTAGACTATGCTATGATGTGGAGAGGTAACCCGTTTTCTGTAGAGTTGTAATATAGGAAAATCGATAAATGAGATGTGTGATATGTACCATTGAATGTTATCTTTCTGTATGTGTCTGTGCGTAAATACCATAAGTTTAAAGTAATGCTAAATTTATCTCGACTGATGTTTGGAGACAAATATTAAGAAAACAATAATGATGATAATAATAATAACTAACCAAATGATCATAATACTTCCCACCAAGAAATAAATGTCCATCACAGAAGATAACAGTACGTGGTAAGAAAAGAGACTGTTTTAAACATCAATGGTAAAAAAACGCAGCAAGAAAATAACTGGGAAATAGCATTAACAAAATGTTATGTGAAGTTTGGAAATGATATAAAGATAACTCATGGTGGCAAAATAAACAAGCCGTTCTATTATCTCTAGACTGAAAAGAACACTATTCTAGACTTGAGTTTATGCAAGGGATATACACAAAGACAAAAGGAGAGAGAAAAGAGGTGGGGAGAGGGACGATTGAATTCGTATATTAACAAACTATTCGCATACACAAAAAAAATTCATAAATACACCGAACAGACTAGAACATGAGATGACAACGACAAAGAATTCCTGTAAGATAATAAAAATAAAGCAGGCAGTTAAGATTGAAAAAGAACACAAAGAAGTAAGTAGTTAAAAGAACTTCAATAAACAAACCTCAGTGTATAGATAAAAAAGAAGTAATAGCTGTGAAAGGTAGCTAGAAACAAAAATAAGAATCATGAGATAATGTATCTGGATATTATTCCTGTTAACTAGCGTTTGTCATCGATCAACTGTAGATGAACTAGAAAGATCGTAGGGTTTTAAATAACCCTAATTGGAGTTCAGCTTTCATCTAACGGGTCCCAGCTTAGAAAGACTATTAGCTCAAATATATTTCAACAGTTAAGTAGTATTACTGGTCTTGTGTAGCAGATCGCCTAGTATATGATAATTTACAAATTTGTTCAATACCTTAAATAAATGTGATAGTCATTTATTTGAAATTAAAAGCCATGGATTCGAACTTGGGAAGTGGAAAGGTATTGATGTCGACATCTTGCTAAGTCCCAGTAATTATAGATATTATGAAAAAAGTTTAAGAAAGCGTTTAACCAATTAGTTCAATAACCAGTAGACAACTGGAAACTTGATCAACACAATGACCAGCGCTCCGTATACAATTTATGGAGGAATTCACGTAGTGTCATGATAAATATTATGATTACTATAACACGAGTGGTTATATTTTTATTTTCTACAAAGTTAGTAAGTCGATGAAAATAATTTCCATCAGCTCAGCCTTATGGGACACTAGAAACAGAAAAGACCAGTCACCATGGAATGTCTATCATGCCACACATTATGATAGGCAGACACAAAGCTAAACGTAGAAATGCATCAATTCCAAACGGCCACACTTCACAGCAACGTAGTAAGATAAAATGGATGAAAAAACAGTGATATTAAGATAGGAAAAAAATGTAGATGAGGGCTAGTGAAAGTATTCAAGACTTGGAAGGTAATCAAGAGTGACAAACAGCTAAGCCTTTGTGACAAACTTTCAGCTATATCATAAAGAGTGTTCGTCCATTGGTTCAAAACAAAATTTTTAGTTCAACTGACATGCTACCTGAGTATTTTTTTTCAGTCTAGTGGTTGACATTTAGAGGCACCAGTAAGTTTATTGAAGTGCGATGATTCTACAGACCACTACCTGAAATTGCGACCCAAAGTTTTTTATCTAAAATTTATATAATTTATCATCTAAATCTAACAAGCAGTTAATAGTCACTGATAGTCTACTTAATGGTACCAAGGATAAATGAAAAAGGAAGCATCGCTCAATGGAATTCCGGCAGGTATTATTAAAGCATTTGAACCATAGTTCACAGGTTCGCGCACAATGTTATCATTCACATTTACTGACTGAATGAAAATTAATGATACAAACTGGCAACAAAACCTTAATAAATGAAATGAAATTCAAACATCTAGCCTATGTCACTTGAAGCAATGAACCCCACAAAGAACAGCAGTACTATAATAAAGATTCAACATAATGACTCAGACATTTTCGGTCAAGATATTATAGATCAATAGAATAGAGAGTAGAACAGGTGGAAATAAACAGAAAAATAATTGAAGGTACTTAAATTATCAAAATAGGGCATTGATGAATAAATAGCACCTAGATTTCCGGTTAAATGTTTAAGACTGAAACGAATCAATTGACTGAATACATCCCAGTTGTTTCAATTATGATAGGTAGTTGCCTGGGTAATAAAATGACTAAAGATACTAATGACGGATAGCTGCTAGTCGTGAAATTCAGAACAAATGCTTCACCTTATTTGGGACTGACTGATAATCTGACAAAACCAGCATAGAACTTCGCACACGGGTGCATTGACTCAAGTAACCAAACTTCACAGTAGTACATAAAAAACAGGAGTTATTTCAAAGAAGATAAAGTAGTATGAGAGAATAAACAATCTAAGGACAAAGGTTAGCGCCAACATCCAAGCTTTATACGATGTCAAGGAGTGGATACATTTGCGTTGTCGTGACCGATTTTCAGTCATGTCACCACCAGTCTTCAGCCACTGATTACTCTCGTCTCGTGGACCCCAACAAGTATAAATTGCCCCTCACGATTCAGACGAACATTAAGAGATTTCATCGACTGACACCACGTCTTGGTCTGGTTACCTTACACCCTCATCCAACTTCCCTCAACATGGCACATCTAATTAGGTGATGGCTCAGCATGCGCAACACGTGCCAAAGCCACCGAAGCCGATGAAAGTACATAATCTAATCAATCGATTTAACTGTCTTGCGTAGTACCCTTCGCCTGACCTCAACATTGCTCAAAGGGATTATTACACTGAACCCGAACAATGTTAAGTA